CGCTTGACGGCTGCATGTATCTGCACCTTTAGCGTACTAACATCGTTGTAAGCGCGTTCTGAATACGGGCCATAATAGAGAATAGACTGCGCGATCTGTGTGTGAAAATGGTCGATAGGAATAAGAGAGAGAGGGACCGTGGCAGACGGCCATTTCTATCTCTTTCCATTCAATGGTGTAATGGGAGAGAGAATGAGAGGGGGATTGGCTGTCTCCCACGGACCTCTCTCTCATTATTGTCGATCACATTTGATAGATTATTCATAGCGTTTTCGGCCCGGCCGGGTTTGCACCAACCTGGGTTGGATCAATGGCGTTTTGTGCTCTCCTATTGGTAGAGCGTGTGACGTCAACCAATAGGAAAGATTAATTCAACCAAGGTTGATGCAAACCCGATCGGGTCGAAAACGCTATTAGATACGGATCGCGCAGTCCATTCTCTATCTTTGGACTCAACTGGAGCGTCTCTAGAGTAGAGAGTCTGGACATACAGCGGAAGTGCTCTCAAAATGGAAGAATATGTGTGTGGACTTTTGTGTGTGTATGTGTGTTTGGTTGGCTGCTGTGTCGTCACGTCGTGTAAGTAAGGTTTTTTTTATTAATATCACATCAATTTGTGATGAGTAATAATAATACATAATATCCGTACAATTTGATATAAAAATGAATCGAGTAATATTATAGTAATATTGTATTGTGTATGAGTAATATTGTACTTTTATAGCATTGTGTTTCATGTGACACATTAAAAAACTGTCATAACATAAAAAATAAAATAATGATACGTTTTATTCGACTTCGACTTCAAATTGAAAATAATAAAAGCCACTTACTGAACAAAGTGTACAATAGTAAAACTATGGCAATGCATGCGACAGTACGATAGTTCAAAGACATTTATTTATAAGCATTATATAATGTAAAAATTTTGTACAAAAAATATATTTTCCAAAAAGTGATTATTTTGTTTGAATAATGAAACTTCCGTCCTTTTACATATGTATTTCTATATTTACTGTATTACGTCACATTGATTACATTTATTGTTGACGATGGAAAACAATAAGCTTGTTCTTTTTAGTTGTATTTTTTGCACGGTTTAACTTTCCACCTTTTTCATACAATGCGAAGAAAAAAAAGAGGAAAGATGAACCGAAATGCAAGAAATGCAAGAAGTTCAATTAAAAACAATGAGCATTATAGTTCACGTCATGTGTACTATTCTAAGGTTCCGTATTGGTGCTGCCATTGTGAGAGCATAAGTCACGTGCACCAATCACGCGGATTCCCGTATGTCCAGACTCTCTACTCTATGGACTCTAGTGGAGTCTCCACTAATTGGACTCACGGATCCGTGAGCGCTCGCTGCTATTGGATAATCTAGAAGAATACACCAATAGCAGCGAGTGCTCACGAATCTGCTCCACAACAGAGTCACATGGAGCGGTTCATGCGATAGCGGAACAAAATTCAACCAATCACGAAGTACTTTTATATTTTTTGCGGAATATCTGTTTCTATTATTACTTTACGATTTGCTACCGCATGAACCGCTTTATGCATGGTCTACAATGGCAGTGGTAGTAGTGGATGAGAGTATAAAAGTAACAAATTGACCAATCACAGTTGAATATGAGAAGAATAATCGACTGTGATTGGTCAATTTCTTACTCTTACAGCCTCATCCATTAAGGCCCGTCTACAATACACGGAGTAAGAAGTAAGAGTAAGAAATTGACCAATCACAGTCGAATGTGAGAAGAATAATCGACTGTAATTGGTCAATTTCTTACTCTAACTTCTTACTCCGTGTATTGTAGACGACGCCTTACTGATACTGTCATTGTAGACCACATATTATGTAACTCCAGCCTCAGATACCTATGAGGTGTATTTACCGCGTATCCCGTAACCGCGTAACCAATCAGAAGCGATCCGCTGTTGTGATTTCGTGTTTTACTGATTGTTGATTGGTTACGCGGTTACGCAATACGCGGCAAAACGCTTCATGGGACTCCATCCTCAGGCTGGATACCCATGAGGTGTATTTACCGCGTATCGCGTAACCGCGTAACCAATCAGAAGCGATCCGCTGTTATGATTTCGCGTTTTACTGATTATGGATTGGTTACGTGGTTACGCGATACGCGGCAAATACGCTTCATGGGACTCCACTCTCAAGGCCGCAGCACACACTCTTGCATAACGCATAATGCATAGTGCATAAGCGAATCAACTAATCAGAATCTTTCCTTTCCTCCCATTCCATGGAAAAGAAGAATTTTTATTGGTTGATTCCTTTATGCACTATGCATTATGCGTT